ATGGTAATTCAGTAATTGATATATTCATCTTGAATCTTGATCATTATTCTCATATCTTGAATGCCTTTGATGTCTTGTTCATTGTTTTCCTGTGCATGAATGGAAATGAATGTAATATTTTTTGCATTCTGTTTTTGTTATAAATGGATTCATATATTTTCCTTCTAAAGTGATCTGTTATGCATGCCAGATATGTTATTTCTTCTACAAAAATATAGCGTTTGGCCTCACCATATTCTATTTCGAGGCCTTTGCGGGCTTCTCTGGACAATCGGTTTATGATGACTGGTACATGATATTATTCAATGTTGTTCTTACATCATTGCCTGTCATTTCTCTTGGGGTTTTTGAACAAGATGTTCCGTCAGAAGTTTGCTTACAGGTTTCTTCTCTTGAAATGCCTTCAATAATATTTTCATCCGTGTTTGGATAATCTAACCTTTGATGTGCCCTTGCTCGTTGCAGTTTCCTGCATTGTATCAGCAGGGACCCAAAAATTTGTTTTTTGACTGGTATAGAATCTTGGGATGGATGGGGAATGGTCTTTATTCCTCCCTCATCATCTTCTTCCTCGTCGTCATCATCTTCTATGACCAAGCCTTCCGTGCGAATGGCCAGATTGCAGACATGGCTGCTGTCGGTACCACGATGTTCACTTGCATCGTCTGGGCAGTCAATTGCCAAATTGCACTGACAATGAGCCACTTCACATGGATTCAGCACCTCTTTGTGTGGGGCAGCATAACCGCTTGGTATCTCTTTCTCATGTTATACGGCGTTCTTCCACCACGATATTCCAAGACTGCGTACCAAATATTGGTTGAGGTTCTTGCTCCTGCTCCTATTTATTGGACAACAACCCTATTAATAACAATCACATGTGTTCTTCCTTATCTTGCCCATATATCCTTCCAAAGATGTTTTAATCCCATGGATCATCACATTATCCAAGAAATCAAGTACTACAAGAAGGACATTGAAGATCAACACATGTGGACGAGGGAGCGTTCTAAAGCAAGGCAGGAAACGAAGATTGGATTCACGGCAAGAGTAGAAGCAAAGATCAGGCACTTTAAAGGTAAGCTGCAGAAGAAGCAGTCTCTGGGGGTTTTGTCCCCATCATGACCATTACCATATAATTTATATTAGTTTTCAACCCTTTTAGGTTTTGCATTTTTTCAAAATTTTTTTGGCTCTAGCCTCGTTTAAATTCTTTTCATGCTTATGTTGCTTGCTTGTGGGATGAATTAAAGCCCCTTTCGTTGAGAAAAAAAAAAAGAAAAAAGCATGGGAGCCGTATGTAACATATTTAAGTAGAAGAGCTCACCAAGTAGAAAATTCTGAATGATCAAAGTGTAATTCTTACGTAATAGATGGTATAATTCAAGTGATGTTTAAGAAATGAAAGCAGCCTAGTGGTGTGAACAGTGTTACCTTTTTTTGTCTATGCATATGTGGTTTGCAAGGTGTTCTTGATTAGTTTTTTCTTCTTCTTTTTTTAGTTTTTATTTGTTTTGAAGTAAAATAAATTAATTATTGTATATTTCTTAATGAAAAACATATGTTTCATGGCAATCACTTTCAATTCAATGATTCAAAATTAATTTTATCCTACTCTATGCATGAGAGGTGAAAAGGGATGGAAAAAAGTTACTCAACTCAAACCCTTTTTGAAGTTGAGTTAAAAGAAAAGAACCACGGGAAAGAGTATTTTCTCAGATAGAGCTCTTGGACTTTTAAGGGTTTATTTTATATTCTGAATTTATTTTTCTTATGATAACATATTTTAATGTAAAATCTATAACTAAGATTGATTTTGGAAAATACTTAAATTATGTTTAATGGTCCAAAATCATTGAACATCTTAGAACTATTATTAATCTATTTGAAAGTATGATTCATTTTTATCAATGTGTGAAAAAAATATATTTTAAAGATATGAAAAGTGATTTTAGGGTATGTTTAGGAGTAATATTTTGGAAGAAAAAGAGGAGGGGACAATTTTTTATTTTTAAATTAAAAAAATGTAATGTTTATAAAAGTAAACATAAGATTAGGATATTGAGTTTATGTTAAAATATTATTCCATTTCGTTTATTTAAAAATAAAAAAAATAGTAGAAATGTAAAAAATATCCTTTTTTATTTCTCTTTCCAAACTTAACTCTTAAATACGCCTTTAAAATAACATATACACACAACACACCTTTAAAACTAATAATTTTATAGAAATAGGAGATATATTTCTATAAAAAAATTAATAACTTTAAAATAACTAGTATGAGTAAAGACATTCTATATCTTTATTAAAATAAAAGATAAAAGTGATAATTAATTTTGATAGAATAAGTAGATACTTAAAAGGAGAAAAAATATATAATATCTTTGAATATCTATTATACATATCATAAAAGGAAATATTATAAAAAGAATATCAAAATTTATAATCGTATTTTATCTTTATTTTTTTAGTAAATCATTATATATTTCAGATATTAAAAAAATTATCAATAGAAGAAAATGAAAGTGAAAGTGAAAGACCTGATCCCCAGCGTGGACGTGGACATGGAAACATGGGAGGAAACAAGAAAAGACAACGAAATGCTTATAAAATTCTTTGCCACTTTGTTTCCAATGGCAAAACAAAATTCTCGGAGATTTTTCTTTTTAGTATCTGTCATCTGTCAGAACTATTTTGGATATATATAGCATCAAGCTACAGATTAAACATCTTCCACTTACACACAAAAAGGAAATGAAAAAATATCTCCCACTAAAAACATCCCTATCTCCCTCTCCTTTTGCTTCATACAAAATTTTCAACTTGTCTTCTATGATTTCCTAGTATGCATTGCGATAAATTTAAAATGATATCAATTAACATTAATAAACTATTTAAAACATTTTCATTTATGAATTCAGATAGCGTATATTATAATAAAATTATTTATAGTATTATTTATCTTGAAATATTATAATAAATCATGTTCTCATTTATTTTTTGACTAATAGTTTGCTTTTTTTTTACACAAATTATTTCATTCCTTAAAATATTAAATTAATTCCACCAAATAAAAATAAAAAAATTATATAAAAATAAATATATATTTTCAAAATTTTAATCATATTTAAAAAATATTCAATCATTATAAATTTTACCCTAAATTAGAAAGGTTACTTTCTATATAATTTCAATTTTTTAATATTTTATTTACCATTAAATTAATATAAATCATATTCTCATTTTTTTTATATCAATTTCATATTCTCTTTGACCATTGACTAATTAAAACATTAGATACCAAAATAAATGTTATCTCATATTTATTTTGAAAAATCTTTTTCTTTCTCTTTTGTGTTTTGAGAAATCTTTTTACACTATTATTTATAGTTATTCAAACACTTATTTAGTCAAAAGAAGAATAAATATAAAAATAAAAAAAAACAATACAAAAATAATTTCTCATGTGTTGAAGGAAAAGTTATATCATATAGTCAACTTGGTTTCAAATATATATACTTAGACTATTATTATCTCTTTCGAATATTGACATTTCATTTAAATTTCAACAAAAATTATTTTTTAAAGGTCAATCTTTAAAGTATATTGGTGTGTGCTTTCAAAAATCAATTTTTTTGTCATGATCAACTACATGTTACAATTTCAAAAGTTACATATAATAATGAATTGCCAATTTTAGAAACTAATGATAAAAATGAAGATTCAAATATGTGTTTTAGTGTTGTGTACAAATAGGTTTTCAATAATTTGTAACATTAATTAGTATATATATAATACTATTTTTTAACTTATTTTTAATATTATTATACTTTATATCTAATTTTTCAAATAATTTTTAATTATGTAATCAGCCAAATATTAAATCACTCAAGTTACCAAAATAAAATAGTGGTTCTTATAAATAAGTTTCTTATTTTACTTTAAGTGGAATTTACTATGTCATATCATTCTTAAGCTTTTACAAGTTTAGCTCAAATAATGAGATCTTATAAGCAATTCACATTTTTTATAATTTTTTTTATTTACAATTCACTCTTTAATAACTTAAAAAATTAACATAATTATCATAATTAAATATTAATTTAATTAAACATAATAATATATTTTTATTTGAGAAAACAATTTGTGTTTTGAGAAATGTTATTTATTTAAAAATTGTATGTTTTGCAATTTTTTGTGTCGCCACACTCTAATGAAAGTTGTTAATAAATATTATTGTTTATTAGCAAGATACACCATAAATATTTTGCATTAGAAATATTTTAACATTATTTTAATTTTAATTACATGTATGCAATTTAATAGTTATCATCTAAACCAATAAAATGTAACATAGTAGATAATTTTACCACTTAATCACGTGGTTAGGAGTTTAATCTTGAATCAATGTATGTGAAAAAAAAATTTATTATAAAAGTTTTTACCCTTTAAACAATCTTAATACTTCAGAAGATTAGTCTTTAAAAGATTATCTTAAATAAAATAAGACAAAGATATATTACTTTTATTATTAAATTTTACCAAGTCACATATATTCAATACACAGATAATATCAATGTAATTAAAGTTTAAAATCACGTTTCCTTGTATACTTAATCCCTATTAATATATTAATCATATGTGTTTACCTCAAGGTGGACTGATAATCTAGGATGACTTTTTTATAATTATTTATGATATATCATGTTAATGTGAAAAATTTATAATTTTTATTAATAATTAAAATAAATTATATTTATATCCTTTAAAATGATTATTACTAATACAAAAAAATAACTTCATATTAGAAAAATTTTGAACAAAATTTATATGTTTTATAAAGACCTAAATTAATAATTCCAAATTTTGAAAGAAACAAAAACTAATTTTTTATTTAAATTTATCCGTATTATATATATAGCAACGTGGTTGAATGTAGTTAGTTGCTGCTTACTGCGGGGTCCTGAAAAGTGAAAGAAAATCCGTTTGGATGAAAGCGCGAGGTGAGGAAAGGCGTCTCTCCTATTTTCCAATTTTGCCCCTACCTTTTCCTCATTTCTCATTTATGTCCCGCTCCTTTCCCCCTTCCATTTCTCTGCTACTGCCAACTCCAATTTTCACTTTCTAGGGTTTAATTCCCAACCCTAGGGTTTTCCTCTCTTCCCATTCCCATGGAACCTCGGGTTGGGAACAAGTTCCGTCTCGGCCGCAAGATTGGTGGCGGATCCTTCGGCGAGATCTATCTCGGTTCCCTCTGCCTCTCTTTCTTCCTCACTTTTTCACATACTTATTTACTTTCAATTTCTGTTTTCCTAATTCAATTATTCTTCAGGCACCAATGTCCAGACCAATGAAGAGGTTGCAATCAAGCTTGTGAGTACTACCACTTGCTCTAATTTGAAAATTGTTGATTTTATAAACGCTGTTCTAGTTCTTTAAGGTTTGATTTGTTGTTTATCGTCTCTCGTTGTGAAATTATAAATGATTGGGTATGTACTGCGAAGTCTCGTGTAGTCGTGTTGTTCAATTTTAACGACTGTGCAAAATTGAAGTGGTGAAGGCGTGCTTAGTGGAATATGTGATAGACAGTGTAGTAGTGCAGCACATTTATTTTGTTTTAATTTTTGTAGAGGAATTAATGTGGCCAGATGTGCCAAAAGGTGTGCCTAAGGCTGTTTCGTGACTTGTGCCTCACTTCCTCAACTCCGGGGGGTGTTTGGCCATGTATCTACTACAGCTTATCCTCTGTCATTAATGGCATTGATGATAGTTGACTTTTTGAAGAACTATGTTGACTATTGAGGATTAGGGATATGTTTAATGAAATGTTTGTTTACTGTTTCCTTTTGCATTTTGATTCAGGAAAGTGTCAAAACCAAGCATCCTCAGTTGTTGTATGAATCAAAGTTGTATAAAATACTGCAAGGAGGAAGTAATGTTCTTTCTTACTGAATTTTTATCTTTCCGATCTCTTTGCTTACTGTATAGAATCTGTATTACTCAGGCTAAATGTTTTTGGTTGGCTATTTTTATCTGGCAGCTGGAATTCCAAATGTGAGATGGTTTGGTGTTGAAGGAGATTACAATGTCCTTGTAATGGATTTACTGGGCCCTAGTCTTGAGGATTTATTCAATTTCTGTACTCGGAAATTGTCCCTCAAAACTGTTCTCATGCTTGCTGATCAGATGGTGGGATGTCCTGTTATGTAGATACTCTTCTAATTTACATTTTTTGATTTTGTTTTAAATGGGGTAATCTTGAAATGTTTGCAGATAAGTCGAGTTGAATCTATTCATTCCAAATCGTTTTTACATAGGGACATCAAGCCAGATAACTTCCTAATGGGTTTGGGGAGGCGTGCAAATCAAGTATTAGTTCAAATTTTTTTTTTTTTTTTTTTCTACTCCTTTCTTTCATCTCTTGGATGCATCCTTTTAAAAATGACCTATTTCATAGGTTTATGCCATTGACTTTGGTCTTGCTAAGAAATACCGAGACACCTCTACCCATCGGCATATTCCTTACAGGTATTTTGTTTCTTTTTTCTGATTTTATATACAATGGTTGAAGAGTCGAAACAAGTTTTAACTGTTAAGAATCAGGATAGTAATCAACTGAATATGGAGATCCAATATCCAAAAATGTTATACTAGTGGGAGTTTCCTAATAAAGGAGTTGTATCTTTTTATCGGGAAACACAAGAAGTGCGTGGTGGGGGAAGTACATGGTGTGGACGTGTGGTGCCTCTAGTTTGGTACTTTATGCAACATTGAAGTTCTTATTCTAATTGCTGCAAGATATGAAACCAATTTATCTTTACCGGACCAGACCTTTGAGTTGTAGAATATTAATAATTATTAATAAATATATTAACTACCAAGTTTGGATGTGTGATATGAAATTGTTGGAAAATTATAATGTACCTGCTGTTAAAATTTCTATATGATTAACTGAACAAGAAAAGGTACTATAGTGCAAGTTATATTAAAATTAATAGGTTCAAGTGAAGTGCTGGTGGTGTAGAGTTTACACAGACAATCAATCCAGTTTAAATTCTTTCATTTCCAATTGTTGGTTCTATTTTCTATTATTTTTTTTATTTGTGCGAATATGTTTCAACAACTGTTGTTACTTATAAATTATCCTTTTGTAGTTTCTCTGATGATTTTGTATTTTTTATATTATTATTTATACAAATGACTTTACAATATTTCCAAGTTATTATTTTAAAATAATATCTTTAAATTGTGGGGTTTCTCTGAATTTCACTTGCTTGTAATCCGTTTCAGAGAGAATAAGAATTTGACTGGAACCGCTAGATATGCTAGTATGAATACTCATCTTGGAATTGGTATGCGCTCAATGTGTCTCTTCATGAAATTCCTTGCCATTGTATTTATTGTTAATAGATTCTAAGTTCGGGATTAACCTTTTATTCTTTGTTAGAGCAAAGCAGAAGGGACGACTTAGAATCACTTGGATATGTTCTTATGTATTTTTTGAGAGGAAGGTAGTTATCCTTGCTCCTGTGTTGTGTTTCTTTTTCTTGATCACCTACTTTTTTATTTTAATTTTTTACTTAGTATTTCTACAGTCTCCCATGGCAGGGATTGAAAGCAGGTACTAAGAAGCAGAAGTATGAGAAAATCAGTGAGAAGAAAGTTTCTACTTCTATTGAGGTGAGTAAAACTGTGTTTAAAGTAGTATCTTGGTACATATTATCTATTTTCTCCCCTTGATTATGATAAAATGTGGTTTGCTTCTTTGTTAGTCTCTTTGTCGTGGCTATCCCTCAGAGTTTGCTTCATTCTTCCATTACTGTCGGTCACTGAGGTTTGATGATAAACCAGATTATGCTTATTTGAAAAGGCTTTTCCGTGACCTCTTTATTCGTGAAGGTTTGGGCCTTTTTTTTGCTGGTGATTATTTCACTTTAGAATACTCTGTAGCCTTTGATAACTAGATGGTAATGTTTTAATCTGTCAATTATGTGTGTTTGGCTGGTGTTCTCTTCTTGTTCCAGGATTCCAGTTTGATTATGTCTTTGATTGGACCATTTTGAAATATCAGCAGTCTCAAATTTCCACACCTCCTGCTCGTGCTATCGTAAGTTATGGTGTGCCATACAGTGGTATTAGCTTAATGTTTGTTTGTTGATATTAGATTATCTTACTTAAAGTGACATTTTCAGGGTCCTGCTGCTGGACCAAGTTCTGGAGTGCCACCAGCTGTTGTAAATGCTGATAGACAGATAGGTATAATTTTCTTTCCTTTTTTACTTTTAAGTCCCTAATCTATTATTTTATTAGTAATATGTGGTTTCTTACTTTCTTAGCTCAAAAGTCTTGGTTATTCTATGTAGGTACTTCTATTTTTCCTTTTATTTTGCATACCTCGGCTTTTCTACAATTTTATGGTATGGTACTTTTGCGTTTTCTGCTTTTAATGTGGGAAATTTGTGTAGGTGGGGAAAGTAGTAGGCATACTGGTTGGTCTTCATCTGATCCTGCTCGAAGGAGAAACTCTGGACCTATTACAAATGATGGATCCTTGTCAAGACAAAAAGCCCCAGTTCCAAGTGACTCAAATGGATCTAAAGATGTTATGGTGAGTACATTTATTTATGGGATGGCTTATGACTGTGAGCGGAGCATATTTCTTCCTCATTATTTTCTGTTTAAAAATAATAAAATTTTTAGTAGGCATCGCATAAGTATGCTTTGTGTTTAGACAAGTTATGTATATTTTTTTGAACTCCTCTTCTTCAGACCTGCTGCATTTAAGAGTTTTTGTTCTGTGAATATACTCTTGTGGTTGTGGTTCTTGTTTTCTGGCAAAAAAATAAATAAATATAGAGTTTGTTTGGATATTTTATTTTTATTTTTATAACAAACACTCATAAAAGAAGAAAATAAGAAGGTAAAATAAATTAAACATCTCTAGTAAGTTAAAATTAACTTTTATGCACTTCAATTTTTTTATAAAATTTCTTTCGTCTAACTTCTCCTAAAGTTGAAGTGTATGAGTTGATTTTAATTTATGAGAGAAGTTTATTTTATTTTATAAGTGCTTATAAAAAGAATTATCCAAATAGGATCGTAGTCCATGCATTGTGGGTTTCTGATATTCTAAAAGTGATTACATACATTATCAGGTTTGTTAGTTCGTGATTTTTGTCACGTTTGAAATTGGTTGCTGGTTACAGTTACACCGATCATGACGTTATGTTTGTATTGCGTATGATATGTATGCAGTTGTCTAGTTCTAATTTCTTCCGGTCAAGTGGATCTACTAGGCGTGGTGCTGTATCGAGCAGTCGTGATGCAGTTGTTGGCAATGAGACTGAGCCCTCTCATTCTCTCACTATGGATGCTAGTCCCGGAGCACTGCGTAAAACTGCTGCTCAAAGAACTTCACCCATCATGTCATTTGAGCACAACCATAACCGAACATCCTCTGGCAGAAATACATCAAACATGAAGAATTTTGAGTCAACTATCCGAGGTATTGAGAGCCTGAATTTCAATGACGAGAGGTTACAGTATTAGCTGCTGCCTTTCCCGACCAACTATTTTAGTAAATTTTTAAATTGTTTTTATAAACTACCGAGTGGAGTGTTGGATGAAAGCTGCAACAAATTGGGAATTGTCACTAAAGTATACAAGAATGATATGTTCAAGTGGTTTCCTCACAAAATCTGGCATTGAAAAGCCTTTGTTAATACAGTTGACCGTGTACTCACGTTGATTCTATCTTTTTCTCATTTTATATCATCTAGTAAAATATCATGCTTTCCTGGCTCTTTCATTTTTTTTTTTTTTTGGATAAATCATGTTTGTTGACATTTAAGTGAGAAATTCCATTAGCTTCCAACTGGTAAAACGACCAGTGCTACAATACTAGAAATTTCAGGGGGTGTTTCTTTAATCCACGTATTGCTGGAGTTTTTCACGTGTAACATAGGAGCTACTGACTCGGAAAGAATGGCTAAGGGTGATGCAATCTCTAACAATTTACTAGGGGAATTCGAAAGCAAGATGTGATCCGTCGTTCAACATCTATACTATTAATAAAAACGATATATATATATATATATATTTTGAATGTGATTTAGATGAAACTTTTATTTTTCCAACTTTTTAAACAAATGGGTCTACTTTCGTTGAGAAAATGTCGTTTATTACTAATTCTAGTTGTATAAAAACTTTAAATGTTTTATTTATTACGTATTCCAATTATATAAATAATTTGAATGTTTTTAAAAGTTAGAGATATTAAAAACATATTATATATTTAATGACTTTTACTTTTAAACTGTGTTCTATACTAACTATTACTTTAAAAGAAATCGCTCAAGAATTCAAGAAATATTCAAAGGAATGATAAAAAGTTTTCGCTCATAACGACTTTGAAGAGGAGGGGCAAGGCCCCAATTACACCAATCCACTCAGAGCTATTAAACAAACTAATTAGAAATTACAAAGCATTCATGAACTGGTCGATCTTTTATAACAACTGAATGTAACATACTTTTTAGTTTTGGTTGTAGAAGAGTTACCATGAAACAAAATAAACTTATAGATAAATTCTGATAAAAATGAACCAATTGGAGTTGATTCTTTACTTAATTGTATATTGTCTTCATTAGCGCCTCTCTCTCTCTCTCTCTCTTTTTTCTTTTTTTTAATCTCTTCTTGATAAATTTGCTGCTCCAACTGTATTTAAATATGACATTTAAATCAATTTTAGGGAGAGTAGTCATGTCAGAGTACCTCATTTTCTTTTCACATAAGATTTTAGTTTATCGGATAAGATTGTTATAAACGGCACTGAAGTATATGTAAGAGATTAGGAGGTGACATGTTAGGTTGTTCTCTTATGTCAATCATGTGCTTAGTCAAGAATAACATATTGAGGATCGATAATAAGTGAATGATTCACACTATGTTAAGTTTCATAATACATAATAAGGTTGGAAGAAAGGCCAACTTCAATAAAAATCATCATCATACATAAACTTTTTTTTTTATTTTTTTTATTTCTCTCTTTTCCATCACATCATCTATCACTTTTATTATTTTCACTAGTTTTTTTGTTTTTCTATCTCCTATTTCCACCATAAATTATCTCAAAATAAAATGTGTGAATATGACTATTCCACTTAAATAGTTTTATAGATCGTGACATATAGTTACATGTTAAAATAGTTTTACATTGATTTTAGAATCTCTTTAGATAAATTTCTACATAAACATTTTGAAAATAAAATAAAATAATTTTTTATAAACTAAAATTAGCTTACACATAAGTTAAAAATATATTTTTTTTAAAATTAATATAAAAGAATTTTTACAAATTAACTTACTTATAAATTAATTTTAACTTATTTAAAATATTTTATTTGTTTCTCCTATAAATTCTTCCACAGAAACTGTTGATAGGATGATATACACGATCAAACGCGGATTATGTCCGGATCACAAACAACATTCTAAACTCTTAACATATGTTTCAAATCTCTTGTATCTTATGCATATTTTTTTTAAGTCTCTAAAGCATCTTTCAAGTCTTTTAACAAATATTTTATATACATCAATATAATAAAGAATCTCTCAATAATTTTAAATGAAATGTGGGTCAAATCGGACAGCGGGAATCCATAACAAGAGTAAAGGAGGCATAAAATATTTGTGATAAAACATCTGTAATTATTTTTAAATTAATCTGTCTTAACACACATATATATAGCCTTAAATTTGAATATATTAATATTATAATAATTATAAATTAAATATACCCTAAAAAGATGTTAGCTTTGAAAAGCGTTTTTGTTGCCGAATTTCACGGAACTATGAACAATGTCTTTACATTCTCTCTCTAATAATACAAACGAAAGCAGGGTAGAGTAGAGGGTGTACAACTGTGACCAAACACAATTTCTGGGACATCACACTCTTATCTTTCATTTTTTACTATTATTATTTTTTGCCTCATTATTTTTTTTGTAATTCATTGGAAACATTACATTATCTTTTAAGGTGTAGCACCTTATGATCAACCATAAGCTATTTTATATGTATCTTGCGCTTTCAATGCGCGAAATTCACTTACTATTCAGAATATATATAAAGCTGATTTAATTTGGTTAAAAAACATAATAGGTTTCTCCATCAAGAAATAAGATGTGAAAACGTGATGTTTATTGAGAGACTTGACACTTGATGACTCCAAGTTTCATTTATGATATTTTGGTAACACAAAGCCATTGAGGTTTGCAGCATTTCGCAATGCACTTTATCTGAACAATCAATCATTCTATTTCTGCGACAAAGGAGAAACTTCCTCTTTCGCCATCATTTCTTTCTTACCCTCTTTCGGTTTGTTTCAATCTAGCAATGATATATATAGATATAATAAGATTATTTTTTATTTATATATAATTTCATTTCTAGATGATATGAGGTCTTCATAATATATATATATTAAAAGATGCTGAATTCTTCCAAAAGTAATCCAATTCATAATCAATATAACTAGCTGAAATATATTCTTCAAGCCGTATATAATTAAAAAAAAAATCAAATTCTAGTTCAAACCCAATAAATAATATTCATCTTAAATTTGAACTAATAATTAAGAAATATTGAGCAGTAGTAACCAAACTGGAGATGGAGTTTCATACAGCAAGGATAGGGGATTTAATTTAAAGATTTACTCAGAAACCTTAGTAAATCACATTTCATTACAGATAATAAAAAAGAGAGAGAGAGAAAAGATGATTCACCAGTCACCACCATCCATAGACAGCTTGAGTGCAAGTGTTCTTGATCCAGCTGAAACTCTTCCTAAGAGAGCCTTTCATTTTGCCCTCAGCAGCATATATTTTGTAGCCAGCAACTCTCTTTTTTCTCTGCAACTCAGGGTCACTGAAACTCCAACTCTTTGTTGTGTTTTTCCCTTTCTTCACTTTGACATGGTTGTGATGTGCATAAGCATAAGCATAAGAAGCATTATTAACACTGTAAGACCTGAGATCTTGCATGGTTGTTGGGGCCACGTTGCCTTCATCTCTGCATGACTTGGATCTCAACTCCATCATGCCAACCAAGAAAAAGAGTATGTGTCTTGAGGCTACCAAGATGGGAATAACTTCAAAGGAAAAGCTTCATGCCTTTGCTTTTTCTACTTCTATCTTAAGAATTATTTATTTATTTCTCGGTAAACCAGGTATCTCAGCCAAAAATTAATGACATTTTCTTTAAAAAATTAACCTCTTTATTTAATGTTTTTTCCATTTATGTAGATTCAAAAGTGAAAATTTTAATTATATATTTAATACTTCTTTCATCTCCAAATAATTGTAATTTTAAATTCTTAGACACAAATAATTAATAATAAATATATTATTTTTTTATATAACTTTACTAAAATAATATTCTTACTTTCTAAATAAATATACCAGTTTTAATTATAGTAGTTTAATAATTTATGAAAGGATAAATTTAGAATAAAAAAATTATTATTATTTCTTTTTAAGAAATGACAACATTAAAACACTTTTTTAAATGCTAAAATGGAAGTTAATTTAAGAAAATGTGTAAATAAAACATATTTTATATGAAAATCATGTTACCCTTTTTTTATTGATTGTTATTGCTTCTCTTTACTAACTTTAATTTAGACTAAATTATAATGTTGGTCTTTTAAATTACAGGTCACGTTGATTTAATTTAAAAAATAGTGATATCAAATTATTTTTTTATATAAAAAAATTATTTTGATGCTGAAATAATTCTTCAATTAATTTAGATAATAAGATCTTCTGAGTTGGAAGTAGGTGAAGATGATGATATGTTGTTTTCTTTAATGAAAGTCAGTAGGGTAGCGACTGATCCAACTTTTTTGGCAAAGCAGAATTGCACGAGACTTTTGGGTTGACTAGTTTTCACTCGTGCAAGTGTTAAAATTTATTGTAAATTGAAACAAGGGTAACATTAAAACCATTTAAGATAATTAGATTCTGTGTAAATAAATCTGTCATAATTTTTTTTTAAATTATATACTTATCAATTAAAGACTAATGGTGTGTTTAGAAACCAGTTAAATTCAATTCAACTGGAGTTTAAAAAAAAAAAAAAAAATAGTTACACTTACAAATATTTATTTTTTCTACATTAAAATATGTATTTTTTTCATTGTGATTTATCCAAACACACACAACAATCTCTTTAATACGTTATTAAAAGAAAACTCTATAAAATATTCCGACATTACATGGAGATGGTTCTATATTTGTGCATTTGTTATTTAAATAATAGAAAAGTTTATAAATATATTGTAATTGTAATTCTTACTAATAAAAAATATTAAAAATAAAACGACAAAAAAGTACTAAACGAAGGCAAAGAGCTTTTTTCACCCTACCTTAGGACTCGATATATAAAAAGAAATAAGGTTGGAGGAATGATCTTATGTCAAAAATTTCACAAAATTCTACGACCAACAATCTTTGTTCATAAAAAGACAAAACACTCTGATTTTCAATTGACCATTGTGGTCCACCTTTTCAATTATACCTACATTGGTTTTTGCAAGTCAGAAGGTAAAAACCTTCACTTTTTCCCCCTCAAAATACTCACACAAAAAAATGGCTAAAACATTTTCGGTGGGAAATTATAGTTGAATTTAAGCATAGAAAAATGACTCGGAATGAAATTATTATATAAACCAAAGGAAATTATTATAGAGGTCGCACAATGTTGTCCTCTTTTATTCATAGAAGCAAGCATCTGGAAAGTTGCGCTCATAATTTTCTACAAACTTTGCTTTCAAGTTTTGGCCGAAAGTGCATGCTTTAATTCATTGTTATTAGCATGATAAATAAGTGTTAGTAGCATTAAAATAGTAATTTAATTTTATGCAATATTAGTATAATTTTTTATTAACTAATTAAAAATCATAGTAATAAGTTTGATATAGTTGACAAATAATCTTATCTTTTAAATATGTAATTTCTATATATATATAAAAAAATACGATTTGATATCTATGAAAAAATATTTGTCGCAAAAAGTCAACAAAACTCAAAACCTTAAAAGAAAATCTTTTAACTTTTGTAAGAAATACCTTAATTTATTTAAAAAAAACAATAAAAAGAAGAAACTTATTATATATAACGATTTGTAACTTGATAAAAAAGAAATAAATGGCCGATAAATACATTATTTACTTTAAAAATAATCTTCTTCAATTTAATTGAAACCGTCCCACTAAGAGAAAAGAAGTACTTGATTAGGAAGTTAGAATGTGTCTTTCTCAACCATACTTTAATGATGGAGCATTGAAAACGATTTTTACACTCTAGTAATAGTCTTCAAATAATGCATCCAAATGTAGGAAGAGCTTAATTTTAAGGGTGGGAACTCCAACTTAATTACGTTCATAACACTAGGAATGTGCTTCTCTCTTTCCACCCAAAATTTTGTTGTACCAGCAACATATGATGATACGTACGGGTAACATATTTTACAAGAGATTTGGGCACAGAGAATCTTAAACAAGCAAGTGAGCATAACTCTTGTGTTTAAAATATTTCGAAAAAATAAATTTACAAAAAAATTATTGGTCCAAGAAGCAATGAATCCCTCAAACAAACTTTCGGATTTAAATCTTATATATGAAAAAATATAGTTGGAGAGATATCATTAAAGGTGTAATAGTGAATTTTCGTCTCTCTTAGATCTGTTGAGAATTACTTTTTAAAACCTAAGACTTGTTTGATTTTCTTCTCATTTTTTTTAATTATTTTCTAAGACAATTTGATACCATTCAATAATCAATTTCGTATATAAAATACATTAATTTTGAAATTTATTTTCATAACAAGTGCCTAGAAATAAAAAATAATTGAATATCGTTTTCCCATTTTTTTTTTGTTTTCAAGTGTTTTGTTCAAATAATAATTGATTAGTGAAAATTATGATTCACAAAAGTACATATTAATCTTTGATTATCAATTTTAGGATACAGTCCATAATTGTTAGCTTTTTCAAATATTTTATCCTAATAATACTTGATTAATGAAAATTATACTCCTCAAGTGCCTAGAAATAAAAAATAGTTGAAAAACGTTTTCTTGTCCTTTTTTGTTTTCAAGTGTTTTGTTCAAATAATACTTGATTAGTGAAAATTATGTTTCACAAGTACATATTAATCTTTGATTATCAATTTTAAGATACGGTCTTAATTGTTAACTTTTTCAAATGTTTTATCCAAATAATACTTGATTAATGAAAATTATACTCCTCAAATACATATTACTTTTTGATTATCAACTTTAAGACATAATCCTTAATTGTTAATTTTAAAATCGGGATATATCCATGGAAAAAAAATGTTTTTTTCAAATGTCCAAAAGATAAATCCTTAAAAAACAGAAATATACTCGGGATGAAATCCCAGTCTTCAATTATTGAAATCTTTAGCTTGTCCGCTGAAAATGCTCTTGGTTCCCTCTAAATTGTGGCCCATTAGAGCGGAATGTGTTATTATCTGTCTTGTGTAACTTCAAGATAAGGGAAAGATGAAATTAAAAGTGATTAATTTGACAATTTTTTATTGTTGTTGAACTGTATATATAAATGCAATACAAGCTGCATCGTCCATCAAGGCCTTAGCAATTAAGTCAGGAGCCACGGAGTACGTAATGAAATTAAAAGTGATTAAGTCTACAACCACACGATTTTAGTTTTTTTTATTATACCACATTCATCTATATCAGAAAAAGACACTCGATCGTTTAACCGTAAGATTTTGGATGAAAATGATATAAAAAAAAATAAAAAAAATAAGGCCCCTAGCGTTATAAAGAGGACAAAAGTTTCTTCGGGAAAAACCGATTTGGAGCCTTTATAAAATCTTAAACAAATGAAATAATTGGATTAAATATAATATATTACCATTAATAGAATTTCTTGATTCATCTGACAGGTAGATCAAACACATGTGGTTAAGGCTAGTTGAAATATGGCATACGATACGACACAATTAAAAAAGAAAAGGCTTGAGCAACCTACTATTTAAGCAAATAAACAAATATTATAGAATCAACCATTATAAATAAAGTCTTTGAACTCTAATGAGTAAAAATTGTAAAAGCAAAAAAGGAGAGCAGAAAATAATAATTGTCAAAAAAGTAATGGCCCTGATGACGTAATAGAGTAAAAATTAACCCATCAGAGCAGATCAGCAACATTTGATGGCAACTCCTCTACTGTCACATTGTAGAACTTCTGAATATCAGACAGCATTCTTGAGTCGTCCAATGTCACAAAGTTTATGGCAACACCCTTTCTACCAAAACGCCCACTTCGGCCTATGCGGTGAAGATAATTCTCAGGTTGGGTAGGAAGATCATAGTTTATAACCAAAGACACTTGCTGCACATCTATACCACGTGCCAAGAGATCAGTGGTAATCAGAACTCGAGAAGAGCCAGAGCGAAATTCACGCATGATGATGTCACGAGTGTTTTGATCCATGTCTCCATGAGTGGCTGAGACAGTGTGGTCATTGCTTCGCATCTTGTCAGTGAGCCAGTCCACCTTGCGCCTTGTGTTCACAAAGATGACACTCTGGGTGATAGCCAGAGTCTCATAAAGGTCACACAGTGTCTCTAGTTTCCAATCTTCCTTATCAACATTCACGTAAAACTGCTTGATACCCTCAAGGGTCAACTCATCACGCTTCACCAAGATTCTCACTGGCTTATTCATAAACTTCCTTGTAATCTCCAAGGCTTCAGGTGGCATTGTAGCAGAGAACACTCCAACCTGAATTTTACCTGGCAGTAGCTGGAAGATGTCATAGATCTGCATTTCAAGCACAAAAACTGTAAACCATTAGCTCACATCTAATCACACAAGATGGCTAGTGAAAGAACAAGTAGATGATGGTCTAGAAAAAAAAAACAATTAAAAAATTTAAACAAACATTTAGGAAGACAACGAACCTGATCCTTGAAGCCACGTGAAAGCATTTCATCAGCCTCATCCAAAACAAACATCCTTATGTGATCTGGGCGAAGAGACTGTCTACGTAGCATATCAAACACACGCCCAGGAGTGCCAACAACAGTATGTACACCAGCTTGGAGAATGCGCTGATCCTCACGAACACTGGTCCCACCAACACAAGCATGAACCTTGACACCAAGGTAATCACCTAGAGCTCGCATGACCTTCTCAATCTGCTGTGCAAGCTCCCTTGTTGGTGCCAAAACCAAAGCCTGACACTGAACCAAATCATAATCAAGCTGCTGCAAAATTCCAGAACAGAAAGTTGCTGTCTTCCCAGTTCCTGACTGAGCCTGCTGAATCACGTCCAGACCTTTGCAGAAAGGAACAATTCCCCTCTGCTGTATTGCAGAAGGCCTCTCAAAACCTTTAGAACAAGAATAAAACATCACACATCATCTTACGGCACAATTAACTTCATATAGCATTTGTTTTATTCTTCTAAAAAGACAATGCTGGTGCTTCTCATCAAAGATGTTCAGTTTCAAACACAATAAAAAAGTTAGAAACCATATTGGCTGATAACCCACAGATCCACTTTGTAATGTTCTAGAAAATTTTTTTAAATGGAAATCAATGTAAATTATTTATTAAAAAAAATCTGTTCATTCAGTTATCCCAGATTAAATTATATATATATATATTTTGCTGGAACTATCATTAAAATTGTATGAATGTCCTGATATGCTGATTGCACTAAAACATAACAAAATAATATAACTCCAACAGGGTAAATGTTGCAGAAAATAATGTCTAAATGCATTAATCAAGGCAGTGACTCCACATCTTTAAAAGTTTCTTAGTGAGTAATTGATACTGCTAACATGAGTATTAACAAGAATGCTAATAACACATTCTTTTAAACATACACCTTACTGTTGGGTTATTCTCTAGAAGATCAATTTAGTTTCCTTGAAAGCAAATGACTTTCAAGAGTGTTGATTCTTCAGATAATGAATCCATAATGAATTGTGTCTAAAAGAGTATTTTGCTAGCATTCCTCAAGTATCAAATAAGCAATACAAGAAACAAAGGAAAAATCATTTGCCATACCATAAGCGTATATGCCTCTCAGAAGATTTTCTTGTAAACCCATTGCATCAAAACTATCATAGACTTCATCATATGAAGTAAAAAATTCTTGTCCATCAGCAGAAAGCCTGATATCAATTTCCAAGACATTAAAATTACAGAAAACTAAAAGAATAAAGAATTCAAACATCGCAAGCAATGAAAAATATAAGGTCCAAGAGGTTACAATTCATTCATCTTAGAATCATATTGCCGAGCATCAAACTGTGATCCTTCTGGAGCTAAACCCGCCATAACTGCAGAGCAAAAACTTCATTAGACAGAGACACACACTTCAAAAACCCTACCAACCTAAAACACTGGTAACCAAGGAAATCCCCAAACATCATCGTGACAATCGGGCTCTTCTAAGTATGATGAGTTGTTTTCCTTTCCCCTTGATGTAAGATAAGAACAGCAAGCTTAAGAACAATCCATAAGCACCAATAACTCCCAAAAAAAAAACATTAAGCCGAACAAATTTGGAACAATACGCTAATCCGCGACAAATGAAAAAATAAAAAGGAACACGAGACATATGAAACAACAGAGCGACAATTCATTAGAACTGAGTCGAGAAACTGCAAAATCGAAGAGTAACGAAACAAGTAGAGATGGTTGAAAGTAAAACATGGAATAAAAAACTATGCGAAGAAAGTAATAAGATCGATCTGAGATTGGAATGCATAAGAATGTTGATTTGAAAAGAAAGAATAAATAAACAAGAGAAAAAGAAAAAAAAGCGATACCTGATGATGTTAGTAATAGTGAAAGAGAGAGAGAGAGAGAGAGCAAAATAGAGAAGCAAAAGAGGAATTAGGGTTTCCGAAACTGCTAGGATCTGCGGCGTGGAGTTGAGGGAGGCGAAAGAGAATAGTATGATGTATGAGTGTGTTTAGGTTATGTTAATGTTATCGTACCATAGACATAGTATAGTATTGTAGGATTCTCCTACTGGGCCCCAAAACAACCTAATATGCAATGTATTACATTACATTAAATAAAATATATTATTTTCATAATCTCTCCTATAATCCTAACTTTTTTCTTTATCATTTAGGTTATGTTCTTTCCTAAGATCTAAGATATATATCTATATAGGATTTTATCCTCTGCAGTCTGCAGTTTATTGGTATAACTGTCCCACTCTTGTCCGTTAATATTTTTTTTTATTACAACATAAATTATAATTTATAATTTAATTTATTAAATTTAATGGTGATATTCTAAACTGCTGCGTGTGGAGTTTTTCTTCAAACCGTAGAGAGTCTGGTTGCATCACATATTTCTATTTATATTATATATGAAGGCTATTCATTTTTTTTTTACAGTTATATTTTTTTATTATATATTATTTTTTTTATTGTCATTTCTCTTACAAATAAAATAAAATATATATAAAAAAAATTAATTATCAATTATATTAATAATAATTATTTACTTATTTTATAATTACTTTTATTCTTTATTTATTTAATATTATTTTACTCTTTTCTAATTATATATTATCTCATTTCATTTGATTTATATATTGTCACTTCTGTTATTTTTGTTTTTTGTTATTTTTAAGTAAATTTAATAAAAGTATGAAATAACTCTTTTTAATTGTTTTTTTAGTTATATAATTTCAAAAAATCTTATTTTAATTTTTATATTCAAATTTTGTTTAGAAATTTGTTAAACACATTTAAATAAAACCTACCTATTAATGTCCTTGTTAATAAAATATATATTAAACTTGATTAATGGTACATAAATATCTCATTCTATCACTTTTAAATATAGTATCAATGACTTGATATAAGATTTTTTAAAATTATATGGACTAAAAATAGTAATTTTAAATTTGAGACACTAAAAAAATTATCTTAAATTTTAGGGATTAAAAACATATTTAAGCCTTGTTTTTATTTTACACATAAAAAAATGATAGATAAGAAATGACAAAGATGACAATGAAGTGAAATAAGTACAAGTTTCAATATCACCATCCATGTCTCCTATGCTCATCCTCGTTCTCGTCCTCCTATTGGATAGGTATAAAATTTGTGTTTCATACTCCTTCTTGTTGGATATCGAGTATATTCATACATGATTGATGTCTAATCATGCTTTAATTAATTAAGTTTAGTAGAAATTTGAACATAAAATATAAATTAAAAAATTAAATTAATTAAGTTTAATTTGACATAAATATAAAATAAATTAAGAATTGCATAAATCTCAACTAAAATTTTTAAAAAAGTAAATTAATTTTCTAAAAATTTAAAATGCATATGGGTACGGGTACGGATATGGAGCAAGTATATACTCATCCTATCGTGCTTTAATAAATTAAGCATTACTTGTATCTATTTTCATGTTCAATCAAATCAAATATTTTTCATTAAAGTTAAGACGAGTTCAAGCATATTATTCGCACTTATCATTCATAGATGACACTCCCAAAATTACTAAGCAAAAAGCTAATGAAATGCTCGAGATTTTCAAACCAAGCACCACGTCAAATCTTAGTAGTGTTTAATTTGACTCATGATCTTACTTGTCGGGTAGAAGATCACCAGAGACTCATAAGAGGAATTTTACCTTTTAACACAAAATATCTCCTTAAGTAAGGCTATCTACCAAAATATATGATTTTAATGATTATAGGAGATGTGAAACCTATATGATCAGAAACATAAGCTCAAACCAAAGTTTAGATTAATAATTATAAATAATGCTCATTTTGTGATTTTATTTAATTTTTTTTTGTAAAAGTTGTCTTAGTGAGCCACATTGTAACCAAAAAAAAATTTCTATCTTGACACAAATTCTCTGAATATTGGCCTTTGGAAGTTAGTCGTTCCTAATAGAAGCATTGTAAAATTTCAACCAGGTTAGTATTAGTTAAATATTTTGGCGTCTAACAAGAATTTTTTTTTTAAATAACTCACGTCCAAAAAATACTAAATATAAAAAAATAAAATTTAAAATAGAAAAAGAGAACATTAAAAAAAATCAACACAGATAAATCAATTATATACAAATATCACAAAAGAAAAAAAAGTTAATCATATCTTCTTCTTCTACTTCAGATCCCTCTCGCCATACTTTTGTCATACTCTTCTTCTCAATAATTGTTGAGAAGCTAACAAACCTATATTCACTGCTGTTATGATCTCTAAACCTAAGGATTTTGGCAAGAAAAAAAAATGAGATCAATGAGTTCAAATTTATATGTATATAAATTATCATAACACTAATTGAATACAAGGGGAGGAAAAAAAATTCCAAGAAAAAAAATAGAAGCATAGAGAGATGAGTTGAGTTATTGAGAACGAGAATAGAACAGTGAAGAAATTGAAGGAGAGAGAAAACGATAAAAAAGTGTTGGAGAAATAGCATTTGGCGCCGTCGGAAATCTCATTATAAGCCTCTTTCTTTTTCTCAACTGAAAGCCACGTTAAGACTTATTACCACTCTTTAATCTTTATTTCCTTTTTATTAATCCTACTTTTTTATTTAGCTATTGGTTACTTTTTTTTTTTTCCCTTCTCTTTTTATGCAAGCCAAGCCCATTTAAACGACTATAACAAAAATCACTTTGCTTTAGATGATAAAAACAAAAACTCTTTTATTTTTCAAATGAATTAGATCCTTTAGACATACGCATATTAATCTTTAACGCAACTAATATACGTAAGAACTAATTATAAAAATAATCAATACCACTATAGTAAAATAAAATAGTTATATTATTTTATAATTAAATATTCATGTCTTAATCCGTGTTACAAAAATTTAAAATTGTGCAATAAAATAAAAAATTACGTGAATGTGGTATTATCTTAATTCTTCGAGTAAAAATTATTTTAGATTTACTTTTTGTTTGATTATTATGAAAATCTTATTAAATATTAAACTTTAAATGAGAGTGATAATCATTTTGGATCTCTTTCCTATTTGATTGTTACAAAAATTTTAATTAAATATTAAACAATTTCTTAAATGATAGTTTAAATATGATAATTATTTTGGATCTTATAATTAAAATTAAATAGCATTAAATAAATAAGAATTATAATATCTTATAATTTCTTTAAACCATTAATTTTTTTTATCTATTTTTGGCTGGAGCGCATCCTAATTCCGAACGTACATCGAACTATCTTCCTTTTTCTATGCACATAAAAGCCTAAGTTAAACAAAATATATATATAAAAAAAAAAGTTTCAATGCATTAAAATAAGTAACTACTATATTGTTACGATAACAAAAAAAATTAAAGAATAGTAAAACGTTGAATAAAGAGCCCAATTGTCTCTGGAAGCTACTGATGCGATTCAACAGGCTCGTGAGGTGTTGGAGACATTTAGCTCCGAAAATAAGGTGTTGAAAATATTCAAGTAAAAAACCATGTTATAATAAAGGTTTGTGTAACTACATTTTCATCTTGTTTAATTTTTTTTTATTTTATTATTTTTATTTTATTTTTTATAGTTTAACTGTATAATATTGAAAATAATTAACCTTATTGTTTCTAGATGAAATGTGATTGATTTCATCAATTTATAAATTGATTAGATCATGCAACGGTAAGCATATTAATTGTATATTGTGAAAGTCTGAAAGCATTCACTTTTAGTCATAAATAAAAGAAAGCCTGGAATTCAGTTATTTTGTGATAAAAGAATCGGTATATGTTGTCAGCATGCATGCAGTGTGTTGCATGGAGTCCATTAGACACCTCACACTCACTTTATTTATTTTATTCAGGATAATATAATCATATGTTCCCCACGCACCACGCAGATGAATATTTATATACACTGCAACAATGTAGTACGAGAAAATTAATGTCATCTATGATGCATAACATAATGTTTTTGAAGCGTGACCAGTACTCCACCGCCTTACTTTCAGGAATCTTAGACGAAAATGCCAGAAATTTTGTCTGTATAATCACAAATTATCTCTTCATTTTTAATTTAATTTGTTGTATACATGTGCTTGAGATAGGATAAGGCTTTTTTATATGAGATGGTCATTATCTATACTTCTGAATTTAAGAGAAGTATATAAGAATTTGCTACGTCGCCGCATAATAATGCATAATCTATATATCGTGTGTTCGTGTTGACATCTGTTCAGTGCTTTGGCCAAATGCCTCTAAATCAAAGCATATACGTGTCATCACAAAACATGTCTACCATGTTGAAAGTGGTAGATATATACTTTTTACGTATAAGGTAAACAAAATAATCACATATAACATTTGTCTCATTGGTTGTATAAAGTGAAATGCACATTGTTATTGATTTTTTAACTGTTTGCATGCAAGTATAACATTTTGCACATTAGTATCTTCTTTCTTCTTGGGTTGAGTTTTGGCCCTTATAAATACGGGCACCTTGTGGTAGGGATCCTCACAAGTCACAAGAGTCCGAAAAAGAAAAAGATCAGTAGGAAAGATGTTTGGGAGCGTGACGGGTTTGATCCGTAGGGGGCACAAGATAAAAGGGACAGTGGTGTTGATGCGTAAGAATGTGTTGGATGTGAACAGCGTAACAAGTGTTGGTGGAATCATTAGTCAAGGTCTCGGCTTCGCTGGTTCAACGCTCGATAATCTCACTGCCTTCTTGGGCCGTTCTGTCTCACTCCAGCTCATAAGTGCTACCAAATCAGATGGTAATTCATTTATAATTTTGTTTATGTGAAAGTTGAAATCTCATAATTGTTTTTCACTTTTCTTTTCTTCGAGTAGCAAACGGAAAAGGGAAACTCGGAAAGGCTACCTTTCTGGAAGGTATCATTACTTCATTGCCAACTTTGGGAGCAGGCCAATCTGCATTCAACATTCATTTTGAATGGGGTGATGAAGATGGAATTCCTGGCGCATTTTTTATCAAGAATTTCATGCAAACTGAGTTCTTCCTT